ATATATACGATCAAAACATACAACTTTCATATGTTGGTATCATATATTTAATATTAATATATGCATCTTCTCCTCCATTTTTTTCAAGTGTTTCTAATGTTTCTTAGATAAGATCAGATAGATTTTCATTTTTTCTTTATGCATAATCAATTTTATCTCCGATATTTACTAAATAAATTATGAATGATTACATCTTTTATTTTTATACATATTCATAACAGGTAGTATTTATCTATAATAAGGAACTAAGGCTTCTCCTATCATTTAACCACTTTTGACTAATTTTTATATTTTCTTTAATGTAATACACATAATATCATGATTCTTTGTAGCTAAAGCTTCTATTAAAAAGTTGAAATATAATAGATTTACTTTTGATAGGAATAATTAGTTATGGTAAGACTGATAAAATCTTGGTTTCTCCTTTTTATAATAATTCTTCGCATCCATTTACAGCTAAGAATTTGTAAGGATCTTCAGTTTCTCTTAGTCCTTCAAAGAATATTGGAAGATATAAATGATAATCTAAACATTCAGGTTCACATTTCCAAACAATCTTTCTAACAGCTCCACTAAAATTAACTGCAATTGGAAGATCTCCTCGATCATAATATTTTTTAAATAGAGTCTATTCAATCATTGGTAAAGCTTAAAAGATTCCTGACTTTGGAACTTTTTAAGGAGCTTAAGCCTTCTTTGGAGCTAATGATGAACACACTAAATTGTTATATAACTTATAAATCATTACTTCCACCTGTCCCTGCAAATTTATTACTAATGTTCAATAAATTTGAAGAGAATTTACCTGGTGATCTCTATGGAGAATGTCCTTATATTGGTTTTATTCTTTTATTAGTATTTTATTATTGCTGCATTCTTATATTTATTTTATATTAAAATAATAATATTTATGTTTCATTTATAATTTTTCTTTTTAAATTCTTTTCACTAGTTATATTCGCTGGTCTATGTATTTTTTAATTATTTTTCTTTATAATTATTTTAATCTACCAATTTTGCACTAATTTTAGAAAAGGAAAGTTTATAAAGTAGAAATAAATCATATCCCTTTTAAATTAATATATACTGAAGTTGTTAGTTTAATTAATTTTTTTAGCACATATTCTTACTAAATTACAGCCAAAATAACAGTCTTAATTTCTTTATTAAATATTCTTATTTTTAATGGGAACATTTGTCAAGTCAAACTAGTAAATGATATAAGCGCATTGAATTATAAAGTAAATATTAAATTTATTTTATAAACTATTATTTCATTGTTATGGAAGTTAACTTTAATTAACTTGACATCCTTTTAAGATTGATTTAAGAGAGATCTGAGGATGTTCGAGTGTTGACAACAATAAATTAGTAAGTGCAAACCAATTAAAAGACATTTGATATAGAATTTAATTAAGTTTAACAATCCCTTAGGCAAATGGGATTTAAAGTAATAGCTATGAAAAAGCATGATAAACCTAGGTAGGATGAAGAAAACAAAATTTTAGAGTATCTTTAAAAAATTAATACTCTAAATCTTCCTGAGAGAATGTATATTTATAAATTTTGTCAAACTATAATAAAATTGTTCAAACCAGAGATGCAAATTGTAAGGTTTAATTAAAAAGATACAAAGGATTTACTATTGATGTTTAAATAATATTTTATGGCAGAGAATAATATTGAAATTTTATAATAAATTCAATAACTTATGATGGATTAAGAATTTAAAGTATTTTATATAATCCTAATTGCAGATGACCTCAGCTTTAGTTTTAATAAAAATCTTAGTAAACAAATCTAGAGAAGATTTTCATAATTTAATTCAAAGTACATCTGCAATTGTTATATCAAAAATAAAAGCAAAGCTTACAGAATAATAGCATTAATAAAGGTAAACAGGTAATGAATAACTAAAATAAACTGAACTATAAGATCCAGGATCAAGTGAAAGCCCTAAGACAAAATTATGGATATAGAGGAAAGGCAACAAATAAAGAGAATAATCAAGTTCTTTGGTTTATTAAAAACCTACAATCATTCTCAGATCTGTCTCGATGGTAGATAAATTACTAGTTGCTTAGTCATAGTAATAATCTTATCAATAATAATTGATGTAATAATAATAATAGATGTACATAAATCCTGAAAGGGAATTAAAATTACAATTAAGAGTTTAATAGAAGAAGCTGAAAAAGAGGCTGCATTCAAATTATAAGGCAATAATAGATTTGGATTTTGATAATTATTGGGCGATGCATATAATTTTGAAAAAAAAGTTCTTCAAGCATTCTGACAAATATTGTAATTAAAATTTATATATAGTTTTACAAAGAGGTGGATTTTATATTTGGAGTTAATTAAAATTGTTTAATTAATCTATTAGATAGACTATAAATAATTATCAATTAAAAAGAGTGGAAAGTATTTAAGCAGATAAATTGACTAATGAATAAGTTTAAGAGATTCATCGTATATATAATACTACTTGTTAATCACCTAGGAAACTTCCATAATTACCAAATATATAATTAAAATCATAGAGTCCATAAATCATTAAATAAAATAAGCTTGTCTAAAATATATCTTTTTTACCTCAGTTATAATTTAGAAATTAGCAATTAGTTCAGCAATAATAATAAGCTTATTCGTAAGTTTCTTAAAAGCCAATATCATTTTATGATCCAAATAAAGATTTTACAACATCAGCTTAGAGATCTAATAAATCATTAAATCTATCCTAAGACTAGATTCGCCATAGAAAATCTGAACATAATTCTGAAATAATTCTCTATAAATGATTGATTGAGTAATTTTAACAATTAATAAAGTCTCGTAAATAAATAATTTAAAATTATTTATGAGACAATAACATGCTCATATTTAGACTCTTTAAACTATGGCAGCCAGATTAAGTTCAACAATCTCATAAAGAAGATCTGTCTTAATTGAGAGTTAACAAGTGCTCAATTAATAATTAAATCTGTCCGTTAATTAATCCTTTAACAGTCCAAAAATAATATCTAATCAACAATCATTTATAATTTCACAGCCAACTAATAATAGTATGAGAGAAACAGTTAAAAGTGTCCGTTGTGCTTCTCCATCTTTAAGAATACAAACTGAAAAAGTAGAAAAAGAGGATAAGAAATAATAATAATTTATTGATGCCACATTAAAATTACTAGCATAGAATGAGAAGTTAGAAAAATTAATTTGTGAATAAAATGAAATGTTAGCAATGTACAAATAAGATAAGTAAGAATTAGAATTAAAAGTAAAGAGATTAACTCAAGAAATTACATTTCTAAAAGACACCAATTAAAAGAGAGTTTTGGCATTAGAAAAAGAACTAAAATAAATAAAAGGAAAATCTTAACATTAACCAAAAAAAATCCTTCGATGAATTTTTACGATTTTAACATCTTAATTCTATTTATTATTTTAACAATCTATTATCTTGTTATAATTATTAATTTTAAGTTTTTATTTTACTTAATATTCCTTAAACCATAAGCAACACATTAATAAAAATAATATAGTGAAAATGAATTTTTTTTAGATTACTTTCATATCGCTAATTATGTTTGGATTGTGTTATGAAATAAAAATGGAATATAATTAATACAATGAAATATAGAGTGTTGATTATAATTTTTGTTTGTAAAATTTTTGTATACCTTGTGATGATTTGAGAAAAAAGTGTAAATTAATTTAGTCTATCAAAGGGAATTAAAAAAAAACTTAGTGGGGCAATAAAATAGGAGAGATTGATAATATTGTAGCTTATTCCAATTTAGGAGATGCAAATATTTTAAATAAGAGTAAGGATGAATATTTGTATTAAAATTAAACAAATAAAAATTTATTTGTTGAAAAAATATACATTGGATAAAAGTTTTTATTTTTAATATATTTATTTAGATACTAATGTGTACACTATGCAAGAAATTTTTGGATTTAATATTTTGATTCTTATTTTGGATCAGTAAATACAGCAGATTAAATATTTTATCTTGAATATGGTTATGATATTATGAAAAACAAAAGTTATCCCTTATAAAAATTTTCAAATGGAAAAACTGATATACCTAAATTTGGAGATTTATTGATTTGGGAGAAAAATAAAGAAACATACCCAAATGGACATGTTGCAGTGGTATTAAATATAGAAATTAATTCACTTTACCCTCACATATTAATAGCAGAGTAAAATTATGATTAAATTTGGGACGCTAAACATTTTTCAAGGGCACTTAAGGTTAAATTATCAAAAAATGAGGAAGTTAGAGTTGAGAGTATTAGATAAATATTTCCGGGAATGGAAGATTATAAATGTAAAGAAAAGCTAAATGTGGCAGAAGGAGAGATTTTAGGCTGGGTACGTTTAAAAATTTAATGATTATAAACAATAAAAAATATTTCAAAAATATAGATGATGTAATTTATAATGTATTAAAGGTAGATTCTTGCTTTTAACTCTTTCAGCAGGGTTATAACTTGATTGTAAAACTGAATGTGATGGTGATCATTATTGTTACTTGGGATAATGTTATTCATGTTTCTATTTTAGAAAATAATGTATTTAAATATGATAATTTTAAGGGGAAGCAAAAATTCCTGATTTTGGCGTTTTGATTGGTAAAGGAAATGAAGTACCAGCATATTCTTGTTAAAACGATACTGAACATTTAGACGAACTTCAACATTTTTTACATCCTAATGAGACAGGATTTAATTAGACAATATATGTTGGATTAAAGTATAATTTTAATGAAATTAGATATCAATGTGTTCATTATGCCAGAAATTATTGGATTTAAAAATTCGGATCAGCTTTCCCTGATGTTGACACAGCAGATCAAATTTTTAATCTTACTTATGCTATAGATTATGGAAATGGAATTTATAGAAATTTAACTAAATTTTATAATGGAATGTCTAATAATATAAAGGCTGGTGATTTATTAATATGGAACAAAAAATAACCTTATTTCCCATATGGGCATGTTGCTGTAGTTTTGGATGTGTAATTGGAAGTTGAGATACCATTTATTACAATAGGAGAACAAAATTATGATGATTTATGGGATTCTAATTATTATGCAAGGAAACTTAAAATTTCTCTAAGTAATTTCGGATTGGTTTACATAATAAATGAGAGAGAAGTTAATGGGCTTTAGCCTTAAGAAAAGTGTAAGGATTACAATGGAAGTGCAGATGATGTCATTATAGGTTGGGTAAGACTAAATTATTGATGAAAATGATATTATTATATAAATTAAATTGAATCATTAATTTATGGTATTATTTTATTAGTGATGAGCAAAAATGTTCATTATTTATTCTTGAAAACAAAATGAAATTATGAATTTCGCCAAACTTAATTCTATTTTAATTTAATCTAAAGAAGCTATAAAAATGAAATATTAAAAATTCTAATCTATTTCCTTTAGTTGGAATGTGTCATAGAGATTTTAATATCGAAATTAAATATAAGGATTTTTGAATGAGATTGATCAAATTAGTTAAGAATTAAATAATTTGAAAAATAGATTAATTTTCGGTTTAGAATGAATTATTATGCAGATGATTCAGATTGAACAGATTAATTTGAGTTCAAAAATAGTAAAAAAAACAATTAAAATTATATAAAATTATGCAATTCCAAATAAAATTCTCCAGAAAGAGAATTAGTCTGGAAAAACATGAATTAAGGAAAACAAAAGAAATCAAAATGCAGCTTGCCTTCTATTCTCAATCAGTAGCTTTCGTCTTGATGGGATTTCCATGTATGAGGACTTGGATGTGGAATTGTTTAGTAATGTGCTGTCCTTTTGGGAGGATTTTAATACCTGCTACTTTCTTAGTAACCTATTCTGTCTCACTGGGAGGAGTTTTGGGAGAATCATTTTTTTTATATAGTTTTTTTGATTTATTATATTGGGATATGTGTTCAGACCATATGGCCTTACCCCAGGTGTAAGACATTTATAATTCTTGGCAAGCCTAAAAAATGTAAACTTTTGCATAATACTTCTTTTAAAGATTTTTTCTCATACAAAACACGTGTGAGAAACATCACTTTCTCTTTTGGACTTGGACCAACTCTATTAGACTATTGTTTCTTCATTTAAAGTTCAACTTAATATTTTAAATCAGCGAGAATAGGCATGAGTTAATGAAATTTAGGTAAATAATAAAGCTTAATACCCTTAGATCGACTTACTTTTATCTCTCGATAATACGTCATCCAACAAAATTTTATTAAGTAATAACATTAAATAATTAGTGTTTTATCATGATCAGAAAACATAAAAAGTTTTTCTCACCTCAAATTTACTTATCCTTTTTAAATATCTACATTTCATTCAAAAATAAGTTTAGTAAGGTTCATTTCTTATTAAAATAATGAATAAATATCTCTAAAAGTTTAACTCTACTTACAATTATACTTTCAGATTAAAACTAAATTTTTAAAATACAAATAGACTCTATTGAAGGTAACCAATAAAATTTTTTTAGTTTCTTTGACACAGTTATTCAATTCTTAAGACTTTTATTAAGTTCTTTACTTGATTTTTATTTAAGATTTCTTCACAATCCTAACATGTTTCAAAATAATTTTTTGATAATCATTTCTCCTCATTTAATTAATAAAATTACTTCATTAACTTTATCGTCTGTTAAATCGACTTTGATTTAATTCATAGTAATATTTTTTAAGGTGAAATTCAGAATATAATTAATTTAATTGAAACAGTTAATATATATTGATATAAATTATCATAGCTTTGTTATTAACGATTCAAAAGTGATATCTTATTGATATAATTAAGTCTTGAAATTGTTAGAATTCTTTTATGGGATATCTTAATCCTACATTAAATCCATTAAATATGTTGTTAAATAGAGAAGTTCTTTATCTAAAGCATTGTCATAAAATGGTATAATTGGAATACCGTTTTCTAATTAAAAACAAAAAGAGTATGAGGCATTATCAATTAAAACCATATCTTTTAAGTTTCGATTTCCTATCACTCTTAAATCTTTAATATGCAATCCATCTTAAATTACAACACAACTATCTCTAAAAAATTTGTGATGTATAAACTTTTTATCTGGATCCAAATAATTCAATACTTTTTAAGCATAACATTCATGGGATGCTGTAAATACGATAATTTCATATTTCTATGACAATAATTAAAGCATCTCTTTGCAATATGGTCTAATATTTATTCCAGCTTCAACAGTCTCCCCTGTAGGAAACTTTATTGTCAATACTATATCACTTGGATCTTCATTAGATTCTTAACAATGAATTAAAGTTTCATCTAAATCAAATACTATTGTTTTTGCAACTATTTATAAAATTTATAAATACATTTATTTTAAGGTAAATTTACAATTTTTTATTTTATCTCTTCTAACTTAGGTTTCTAAGCATCTTTACAAAATTATAAAGCATGATAGCTTTATTAAATATGATCTATATAAATTTCAGAGAAATATTATTAAGTTTTAAGACTATTATTGAATAGTTATTTAATTTATGTTTCAAATTTTTTGTCTTTATGAAAAAATCTAGCAAATGACATATAATATTAAAATTCTTAGAATGGTGGTTAAGGTCCGATGCTTATTTTTTAGACTGGTGTAAATTTTTTATCGCCTGAGAGATTTCTAAGTTTTGATTTTGATTCTCTATGGCTTACTAATGATTCTGAAACGATTGAATTTTCTTTTGACCTCCTTTAACCATGTAAGGGAGAATTCATTCTTTTTCTAGTGGGCTTTGAATTTACTGAAGTATTTACAGAATTAGAATTCTATTTTTAAGGTATAAAATTTGCTCCTCTTGAGATTCTAGTTACATACTTATTAATTGAAGTTTAATTAACTTATAAATTATTTGATTATGTACAACCAGCATTTACATTTTAATCTTATTCCTACAATACAGCTTATGATGCCTATGATAATAAAGTTTATTATGTTGTTTATAAAGATTAATTTTCCTTTGGTTATGACACACTTAAAATTATCTGTTGACTTTATTATTAGGATTACTGCTAATTTTATTATGAATTTTAATTAAAAAAAGAAGTATTTTTGTATTTTGATATCAATTATTCTAATTTTTAAGTAGCCTCTGCATTTTCTACTTCCTTTGTAATCTATTATTATTATGTTGGTTCTTCAATAACCAATTATTACACTTCCTTTTTGCTATTACTTCTTGATTCTCTTGTTAATTTAACTGTCTTTTATTTAATTCCTAAAGATGCAGCACTTTATCCAAATATAGTCCTTTATATTAAGGATGTTTTTTTATTAGCTTTCTTTTCACTTTATTACTCTTAAACTCTTTAAGATTATAGAGGCTCAGTTGTAGAATTATCACTAAAATCATAAGAAATTATACGTTGGCTTTAGAGTCTCATTAGTTCGTTAAGATACTTCTTGTTTTAAATTTGGAATAGGCTAACATAAAGAGGACGTTACTAACTATATTTTATTAATAATGCATAATACCTTATAACTTGGTTGTCCATTTTAATGAGTTTTACTAGATTTTGCAGAAGGTACTCTTTTTTGTGAATGTGATTTTTATGATGATTTTGGCCTCTAATTAACTAAGGCTTATAATAGAGAGCTTGAACTCTATTGATGATTAAGATTAACTATTGACATATTTGTACGAAGCATTCCTTTATTTTTCAAATAATATTATCGTTAGAATATATTTATTGTTTAAAATATTTAAAAAAAATTATTTATTGCAACTTTCCTAAGCATTTTAAATGTACTAATTACACAATAGTATAATAACCACTTAGTTTGTTCATTTTATAGAAATATCAAATTATTATGAACTTAAAAAATACGACATAATCATTGATTCATTACTACATTAGACATTTGGAAAAGACAAATAACATTTTTGTTTGAGAATACTAAAATATTTATCTGAAAATAAACAGGAGAATGTGTACTATAATGATTAAATAATTAATTTAAGATAATAAATATAAGTATTATGCTTCAATAATAAAATACTAATAAAAGAATAAAACCAATATAAGGACATTCTCCATAGAGATCACCAGGTAAATTCTCTTCAAATTTATTGAACATTAGTAATAAATTTGCAGGGACAGGTGGAAGTAATGATTTATAAGTTATATAACAATTTAGTGTGTTCATCATTAGCTCCAAAGAAGGCTTAAGCTCCTTAAAAAGTTCCAAAGTCAGGAATCTTTTAAGCTTTACCAATGATTGAATAGACTCTATTTAAAAAATATTATGATCGAGGAGATCTTCCAATTGCAGTTAATTTTAGTGGAGCTGTTAGAAAGATTGTTTGGAAATGTGAACCTGAATGTTTAGATTATCATTTATATCTTCCAATATTCTTTGAAGGACTAAGAGAAACTGAAGATCCTTACAAATTCTTAGCTGTAAATGGATGCGAAGAATTATTATAAAAAGGAGAAACCAAGATTTTATCAGTCTTACCATAACTAATTATTCCTATCAAAAGTAAATCTATTATATTTCAACTTTTTAATAGAAGCTTTAGCTACAAAGAATCATGATATTATGTGTATTACATTAAAGAAAATATAAAAATTAGTCAAAAGTGGTTAAATGATAGGAGAAGCCTTAGTTCCTTATTATAGATAAATACTACCTGTTATGAATATGTATAAAAATAAAAGATGTAATCATTCATAATTTATTTAGTAAATATCGGAGATAAAATTGATTATGCATAAAGAAAAAATGAAAATCTATCTGATCTTATCTAAGAAACATTAGAAACACTTGAAAAAAATGGAGGAGAAGATGCATATATTAATATTAAATATATGATACCAACATATGAAAGTTGTATGTTTTGATCGTATATAT